AAGGGTGAAGGGCCCGGGGAGCGGTGCGGGGGCGGCGGCCGACAGGTCTCGCTTCTTCCCGGCGCCCAGCAGCAGCTTCTGCCCCGCCGCCGCCGCATCGGCTCCAGGTCCGCCGGCGGTACCGAAACCCGGCAGCGGCACGAAGTCGGGCAGCAGCTCCAGTCCTTCCTCGGGGTAAAACGGCGCCTCCATCTTCACGGCGGATCGCCCGCTACGCCCGCCGCTCATGCTGCCGCCCTCGCCGGCCGGCGGCTTCGGCGCGGGGCGGGCCGGGCTGGGCGGCTGCTCCGCGGGGCCGGCCGCCCTCGGCTGGCAGCGGGGACTGAGCCGCCTCCCGGCGCCGCCGGACCGCGCCACGCCCCGGGTCCGCTGCCCGCCCCGTCGCCGCCTCCTGCTGCCACCGCCGGTACCCCCCTTGCTCCTTCCCCCGCCCGCCGGGCTTGCGCGGAACGCCTTCCCGGTGGGGTGTCCGTGGGGAGCCCGCGCTGCTCCTCCCCCTCGGAGACTCCCCCCGCCGCTGCGGTGCCGCCGGGAGAGGAGGTGCCGCCGGGGTCTTCATGCGGGGTTTCGCGGGGGCATCGCTCCAGCCGCGGCACGGATCCTGCGGGAGGAAAGCGAGCAAGGGCCACGCGTGGCGGCTGTTGTGAGCAGGTGCTGTTGAGTTGCGACTGCGATGGATGGGCACAGGATAGTGCAGGTGTCGAGTGTTAACGACTCCCGACAACGCGAGCCTCGGAGTCTGCCGGGCAAACACTTGGCCATCAGGAAACATGCTGACTTGTCAAACCAAAAGTCGCTTGAAGGAAGAGGATGGATTTGATGTAGTTTTCCTCTGAAAAAATTAGTTAAGAGAAAGGGTTTGAAACAGCCTATACATATTTCCAACATTTTCAACCTTACTGAAATGTAAAAAAAAGGTTTTTAGTTTGGAGGTGGTATTTATTATCTTTACTTGAGACAAGTGCCTCTGCCCCTCTCCAGGTCCCTGAAATTCTTATGGGATGAGGAAATTTTCTTGCACCCAGTCTTTTATAAATCCCTTTTGCTTCAGGATACCAGTGTGATTCTGACAGAGCTACTGAAAGCTCTCATTTAAGTCTTCAAAATCAGCTTGCTGACCGAGGGCCTCGGTGGCTCATCTACACATTCACCAGATCTCCTCATCTGTGGTGGGACCCCAGCATCCCCTCAGTTAGGCATCACCCTTCTGCAATCTAGTCATGCTTTCTTCCCACACATTTCCTCCCTACACATTGCCTAACTGCCTCTTCCCTCAGGAGCTAGTGAAGCTCCCGAGCTCTGCTGTTAGCTGTATGGCCTGCATGGCCACACTGTACCTCCACTGTTCCTAGGCTGGCTCCAAAATTGGGGCAGGAGGCAGAGACTCTGCTGTCAAGTGTGGAAGGACTTTGGCTCAGAATGCTGCTTGATATGCTTAGGAGAACTGGAGTTTAGGTGCACTAACTAAGGCCTTGATGACCTTTACTCAAGTACTTTTGGGGCCCCAGTTACACACCCTGCCCATGGGGCAGGAGCTCCATTTCATCTCAGTCCAGCACCTTCAGTCCCTGCCCAGTTATGGCACAGGAGTTCCTCTCTCCAGCCCCATCTCCTGGGTGAACCTTGGACCTGTGTTTCCAGTTCTATTCCTGGCACCATCTCCTGCTGCTTGTGCCTGAACTACCTTGTAGTGATACTGGACCTCATACGTGGTTCATCACGTCGCCTTGTCTGGGTGCGTCTGTGGGTCCAATCAGTGGTGTCTGCCCTGCCCTGCTGCAGGACTCTGCCCAGGTTAGTGAACCTGGCATTGGCTTTGGCCACTCTGAACTCATCTTGCCTTGGGTAGCCCAGCTCTGCTGATCCATGAGGCTCTGGCAGAGTTGCTGCCCTGAAAACTGGCAGCAGCAGGACTCCAGGGAGAAGAAAGCCATCAGGCAAAGGCCTGAAACAGAGGCATTCACATGAATGGGGAGGAGTAAACATGTTTTTCTTGGTGTGGAAGGTGGTGCTAGAAAGAGCTTATTTTTGTTTCCTTGTCTCTTGGCTGACCTAGCAAGAGAAGAGCAGAGCTAGCAGTGCTCAGCCAGCACTGACTACTGAAAACAGCTAATGTGAGTGGCTTTGTGGAAGTATTGCTGAAGCTGTTTGCTCTATCAGCTTTGCTGTCATATTCCTGGGTGAGCAAATGGCAGCGACTGGTGCCTTCCCTCAGCCAGGCAAAGAGGGCTGTCTAGGCAGACAAGCCACAGCCTCCAAGCTCAAGCCAGTACACTTTTTCTTCTTTCCCTTACAAAGCAAGAGCAGAGGGGGAAAGTAGGCTGAGGAGAAAATGATGACCTGGGTGGGGTCCGAGAAAAAGCTGTGGACATTCACTTGGGTCTAGGGTCATTGTCAGAGAATTTCCAGATAAGATGTGACACATACTTGGGTGACACTAAAGGAAGGTTCCTTTGTCAGTTCTGTACGAAAACTCTTTGTCACTTATGTAGGATGGTCTTGTTCCCTGGTCTAATGCAGAGCTGGAAGGTGAGCCTACAGAATGATAACATGTCGAAGCTGCTTGAAATAAACTTATTTGTAACAACGGATCAATTTATTGAGATCTCTATCTAGTATTTGCTGATATACCTGCAAAACAAGTTTAGGTAAGTGACATGGAACTGTTTTACACATCCTTAATGTAACTGGTCTTTGTGTTGTTTTCTTTTGCTCTCTCCCTGCCTCCGCTTTTTTTTCCTTCTTTTTCTTTTTTTTTTTTTTCCTTTTCTTTTGTTTGCTTGATTTGGTTTTGGTTTAGGTTTCTGTTTGGGGTTTTTTTTGTTTGTTTTTTTTTTTTTTTTCCCGAAGGCAGTCAGAACCTCCCGCGGGGCTCACAGCGCCAACTTCTTCCTGCCCCTGTGCCGGCCGCGCTGTGCACGGCCGCCAGCAGCCCTGCCCCGCCGGCCGGGACGAGCATCGCCGGCCGCGGCCCCGGCCCCGGAGCGGGCGGAGGAGCCGCCGACGAGTCTCCCTCCGTGCAGGCACGGCCTCTGCGGGCCTCGGCCCGGGCTTGTGCCCGGCGGGGCGGGAGGGCGGGCGCGCAGCCCTGCCCAGATGTGGATACGGGTGGGGGGCGGCCCTGCCCAGATGTGGATGTGGGGAAAAGGCGGGTGGCCCTGCCCAAATGTGGGGGCGTGGGGGCGGCCCTGCCCACATGTGGATGCGGGGCGTCGGGCAGCCCTGCCCAGATGTGAGTGCGGGGGGTGCGGCCTTGCCCAGATGTGGATGCGAGGGGGCGGACCACGGCCGCGCGGCAGGGGGCGGAGCCGGGGCACGACGCGCCCCGATTGGACGGCCTGCCAGGCTAAGCCCCGCCCCCGCTCCAAGGGCCGACTCGCACAATGGGCGGAGCGCGTCGCGCGCAGCTACCGCGAGAGTTTGCGTTGAAGCCGGAGCCGCCATCTTGGAGTTGGGAGAGGCCGCGCGTCCCGTTCCCGTCCCTCTCCGGAGGGTCACGGCGCGGGGGGGGCCGCGGGGGGCGGCAGGAGCAATGGGCGCCCGCCGCTGAGGCCGCGGCGCCCCGCCGGCTCGCCCCTGCCCGCTGAGGCCGCGCCGCCGCGGCCGCGGGACTGGGCGGGATGGTGCAGTCGTGTTCCGCCTACCGCTGCCGGAACCGATACGACAAAGAGAAGCCCATCTCCTTCCACAAGTGAGCGCGCGCGGGCGGGGCGGGGCGCACCGGGGGCGGGGCGGGGCCGGCGCGGGGGCGCGCGCGGGGAGGGGGCGGGAGCACTCACGCGTGGGCGGACGGACGGACAGACAGGCCGACAGATAGACGTACAGGCGGGTCCGTCCGTCCGTCCGCGGCTGCTGAGATGGGGAGAGCCTCGCCCGCCCCTCCTGGGGGTCTCCCTGGGGAAAGCCGAGGGACAGGACCCTCTGAGCCGCCTTTTTCAGAGAGGGCTGGGAGCCCCCACTGGGTTTGGCTCTGGCCATGACCCCCCCCCGCCTGACAAAGCTTTCCAGAAAGGCTGAAAGTGCCTGTTACTTGCAGGTTTCCTCTTACAAGACCCGATCTTTGCAAGAAGTGGGAAGCCGCTGTTAAGAGGAAAAACTTCAAGCCGACCAAGTACAGCAGCATTTGCTCAGAACACTTCACCCCCGATTGCTTTAAGAGGGAATGCAATAACAAGCTCCTAAAGGAGAATGCGGTGCCCACAATATTTTGTTACACTGAACCCGGTGAAAAGGTAAACCCGAGGCACCCGTGGCCGCAGGTGCCGGGGCGCGGGTGTGTCGCAGCGCGGCAGGGCGGCAGGCGGGGAGAGGATGCAGGCTGGGAAGGATGCTGAGCCTGTGCGCCTAAGGACACCAGGAGGGCTGTAGTGGCCGAAACTTAACCAACACCTCTTCTCGTTGGCGCTAGCAAGAGCAGAGGTGTGGGCTGTCCCAGGCTGTACAGGCAGGCGATAGCTCTGAGCAGCTCGTGTGTCCGTTCAGCACACGGATGCTGAATTGAGTGGAACGGCAGCAAAGTAAGATGTTACTCTGTAGTTAGGTTGTTCAGCAGTATTTCTGCTATATTTGGAGTTAGAGAGAGCCTGCAGTAGTGTTCACACCTTGGCTTATGGCTGCTGCTAGCATTGAAGAGACGATGATATTAATTAACCAAGTTAACTGTCCCCTCAAAAGGGCTCTGTCCTCTGGATTTGTAGAGTTAAAGTGAGGTAAAAACAGAAGGGCAGAACCTTACCTGCATCTACTATCTATCTGTCCTGAAACCACCTCTGTCTTGCCTTAAGCTTGTGGTCAAAAGCCAGGCTGGTCCTTGACTTCTAATGGTAGAGTCTCCTGTGAGAGGTGTTATTCCCTTCACTGTGCCACAAAAGCAGTTTACCTTGAGATGCAAGTCACTTATGAGTTCTTCCTTCTTGATAGCTGCAAGAAGCTGCAAGACAAGAATGGGAAAGATTGATTCTTAACTCCTATAAGGGATATAAAATATTTGATCTCTCTTCACTCCACCATTGAGGAAGTGGCAAAAAAGAGAATGGTAAATACAATAGGTCTAGGGAGCAACAGAATGTGATGGGATGAAGTCACAGAGGAGAACTCAGAGTTTTCTCTTATATACAATGTTGGATTGATTCAGAAATAAAATGGCAATGTATTTGAAAAATGAAAAGTGGCTAATAAAAGATAAGAGAATATAAACAGAATGCATATAAAGAGACAGGCAATTTACAGGTAAATATGACTGTGTTTTTTGTTTGATTATGCTTCCCTGCTTATCTGTAATAAACACATTTTCTTCATTGTGTGTAAAATAGTTGCAAATTTTTTCACAGTCTGAAAGCTGAGTGGGTGTACAGTATAATCTGCAAAGGTGCAGTTGGTGTAGCAGGATTAGTAGTGAACCATGTTCCCAATTTCACTGTCATGCCTGGATCTACAAAAACACAGTGATGTGCCTTTTAATTATGAAGGATTTAGTTCTATTCCTATTTATCTCATGGGACTTTAAATTAACTGCCACATATCTTCAAGTAACAATGTAGGAACAAAGAACAGTAGTGGTTGTTTTGGAATTGAATCCAGACTGATTTTGAAGTACAGGTTTTTATCTTTGGCACTATGTAGTTTGGTATACTTTCTTTTTCTTTACTTATGTCTTAGTAAAACCATTTATTGCCTGTAAGAGGTAATTAGAATTCCCTGATGTCTCAGGATGCCAGCTGTTCTCTGTGATACATTTTGACAATAGTAACATGTTTATAGAGGTAGCGTATGCTCGGTAGCTGCAAATAAAAGTCTCTGTGTGAATTCAGCAGTCCAGCAATGATCTGATTTTTGCTTTTGTTTCCATCAAGAATGAATTTCTCTTTGCCAGTTACATCTTCACTTTGTATTTTTTTTAGTAGAAAAACATGATAGGGACAGCTGGTAGGGTCAAACTCTTTGGAATATTCATGAGTGAATTAGATAGGCTAACAGCAGCAGTTTCTTATAGCTGAGAAATAAGACTGGTAGTTGGTTGGCTGGTTTTGTGCTTTTGTGTGATCAGTTATATTTGAGTGTGTGTGAAACTTCATTATCAGTCGCCAAACTGCCTTTCAGTTGCTGTCTGCCAGGTGTTGTAGTTTTTATGAGGGATAGGTAAACCCCAGAATATCAAATATTGCCCTGTTTGCATGTTAAGTCAAGGAAGTTAATGACATGACCTTCATATCTGATGAATTTGATATTTAGATGGTGAGGATTGTCAGCTCTTCTTAAAATCAACATTTTCCCTGTCCTTAAGCTTTTCTGTGTAATAATACTATTGGCAACAGGTGGGTAGGTAGAAAATTGTTACAGTGCCTCTTTTGCTGAGAATGTCTTAAGCTTTCTTTTTAACATGCAAGCTCTTTTGTTTCAACAGTGCTTTTTTAATTATAATGAGCTCAGAAGCATTTCTGAAAAATACTGCATTCCTCTGGGGAAGGAAAAATCTGAATTTCTCTCTGACCTAAGCTCAAGTGGTGAGGGATCTGTGTTGTCCGGAACTGTACAAGTGAACCTATCAAGAGAAACATGATAAAAGCTTCAGTTTTATCTGCAAAAAAAGCTGCAGTGGAGTTGAGCCAATTGATATTTTGCTGCTGCCAAAAGGGAGAACTGTGCTTCTCCCTTCTCCATCCCATCTGTAAGCTGTGCAGTCCTCTTTCTCCACATGACTGGGCAGTGTGTGCTCACAGTCCATGAGAGCAGCCATATCCCGGGCTGCATCCAAAGCAGCGTAGCCAGCAGGGTGAGAGAGGTGATTCTGCCCCTCTACTCTGCTCTGGTGAGACCCCACCTGGCACACTGCATTCAGCTCTGGGGCCCTGCAACATAAGAAGGACATGGACCTGGTTAGAGCGAGTCCAGAGGAGGCCACAAAGATGGTCAGAGGGATGGAGCACCTCTCCTACAAAAACAGGCTGAGAAAGTTGGGACTGTTCATCCTGAAGAATAGAAGGTTACATGGAGACCTCATAGCAACCTTCTAGTACCTAAAGGGGGCCTACAGAAAGGCTGAAAAAGGTCTTTCTACAAGGACGTGTAGTGACAGGCCAAGGGAGAATGGCCTTAAACTGAAGGAGGGCAGGTTTAGATTAGATATTAGGTAAAAATTTTCTGTTGTGAAGCTGGTGAGGGACAGGTTGCCCAGAGAAGCTGTGGGTGGCCCATCTGTGGAAGTATTCCAAGGCCAGGTAGCATGTGGCTTTGAGCAACCTGGTCTAGAGGAAGGTGTCCCTGCCCATGGCAGAGGGGACTTGAAACTGGATGATCTTTAGGGTCCCTTCCAAACCAAACCATTCTATAAATCTGTGATTCTCAACTTTTCCACATATTAGGGCAGATGTTGGTTATACCTGGTATTGCATTGCTTTGACTTTTAGAAATGGACAGAATATTTCTGCAGTGATGGTGGCAGAGTGAATAGCTTTCTGTCATCTCAACAGCTGCCGAGGACGAGAGACCTGCTTTGCTGTTGAACGAGCTGTTTATTTTGGCTCATCATGTCTCTCGAAACCAAACCCACAGCCCAAAACCAGTGACAGAGTCCCTTCCAGTTGTTGAGAAGACAGGCCTTGCTGTGTCCACCTCGCTGCTCTGCCAGCTTTTCAGCCCCCTTAGTAGCTGACCCTTATTCTACCTCAGCTTCTGCTGTGTTTTTGATGAAGTTAGCTGATAGGTTCAATTATGTAGTGATAAGATGCAGCAGAAAGGAGGAGGGACAAGGGGGAATGGGATGGTAGCAATGACTTACTAGGTTGTCTGAACTCCATTTCGTGGAACTGCAGCCTGTGTTCTTGCTTCTTAGCTAACTGTGGATACTATTTGACCTAAGTCTTCGAGTAAGAGTAATTGCTACATTATTCAGTTTTTGATTTATTTGAGACATCAAGGGCTTGAGTTTCAAAGAGCCCTTAAAATGAAGCTGCTGAAAAATATCTCCAGTTGAGAAACCAGACAAGGCAGGCGCAGAACTTTCTGTCAGTTTTTGAAAAGGTAGGCTTTGGAATTTATTTTATTAATTTAAATCCTAGTAGTTTATGTTATTCTGGGGCTGTATAGTGAGGGAGTTGTGTTGTAAACAGCGCTAAGCCTGAAAATGTACTTTTTTTTCCCCCCCCTTGTTCCTTCTAGTCTGAAGAATTTGCAGAACAGCCGGAAGATCCGCTACCACCTCCCCCGCTGCCGCCACCGCCGCCGCCTCCACCGCCCCCGCCCCCGCCAGCAGCTCCGGTGCTACCACCACCTCCATCGACTCCTTTCCATTTGCCCCAAATAGATGCCAGGTTTGTAGACCCGAGTATTGGATTACTGATGCCTCCTCTCCAGACCCCCAGCAACCTCGCCGTTTTTTGTGATCATAACTATACCGTAGAGGATACGGTCCACCAGCGAAAAAGAATTCAACAGCTGGAGGAACAGGTTGAAAAACTGCGGAAGAAGCTCAAGACGGCGCAGCAGCGATGCCGACGTCAGGAAAGACAGATTGAAAAACTGAGAGAGATTGTTCAGTTTCAGAAGGAAAAAGACATACTGGCAGGAAAAGGCTATGTGATTCTGCCTAATGACTATTTTGAAGTTGTAGAAGTACCTGCCTAGAAGTCACGAACATCACTTTTCACTTCAGCAGGCCAAGAAATTTAGTTTAAAAACTAAATTCTTTCTAATTCTGTATGTAAGACTCTCCAGAATTCTAAAACAGTAAATAAGCAGTCATACAAATGAGGTAATATTTTTTCTTCACTGTCGTTTCAGTTTGATACACTTTTAATACATTGAAGATGCACACATCTCAGAATTAGAATATGCAGTGAATTTACAAAATATGAATTGCTTTACAGAAGGAAAGGATGCAAGGTTGAATACACCTAGGAATTTTTTTTTTACAATGTCTGTCTTATGCTTAAAGGGAATGGAGATTGAATCTGGCTGAGAGTGAAGTTGAGGTGGTTGTACACCTGGTGCTTTGTCAAGGAATTTAACATAGGCTTTGGTAATCCCCCAGTAAGTAATTTTCACTGATTTTTAGAAAGAGCAGAATTAGGTCAGCTAACAACATCTGCAAGTTTTTTAACAAGTGCTGCAGAAAGATAGATGAGATACACATTTCAGTCTGGGAAAACTTCCAGCCTCAGTTTGCTATGCATTTGAAGCACTGCGAAAAGTCTAATTCCTGGATCCCTTTGGGTGAGGTATGTAAATGAACCTCGTCTTTTGGAATAGCTGTTCAACACGTATGTTTTGAGGGTGGAGAGCTGTAGAAGCAGCTTTTGTGAAGTGAAGGGCTGAACTGAACATGTATGTTACTGAACTGTTGACAGGATCAAGAGGGCAAAGTACTCTTCATGGTGACTGCTTTGCAAAAGTACCCTGGTAATATACAGTCCCCAGTATGTTGTAGTGTCATGTTCCCATAAGCACATTACCCATGTAATGGGTAGAGTGTTGCCCTCATTTTAAATTTTTGCACTTAAGTCACATGTGAACCCTGTGTAGCTTCAGGAGGTGAAGGCTTTTTTCCTTATCCAGGGAGTCAGATATTTGTGACTTGCTCTGCAATATACTGTGATTTTCTTTCTTTTGCTTTTTTTTTCACTCCCCAAAAGGCATCCACCAAAGGGCAGTTAGGGAATTAGACTTTGGAGTTGCTTGGTGCTAGACTGGTTTATAACATCTCAAATGCTGCTGCCTCTCCTTCAGCCTTATTAAGACTCCCAGAAAGAGTTTAGCATGACAAAGTGGTGCAGCAGTTTGCACTTACTTTTTAATAATGTATTTAGTCAATGAATTCATTCAAAATCAGAGAAAAAGGCATCTTGCTAACCCTATTATAATCCTTACAGCTGAAATTTCTGGATAAACTAGATGTGAGGAAGACTGCTTTTCTCAGTCTACGTCAAACTTATGTGCAGTGTGGATTCTAGCTCTGATGTTCAACAAGCCTTGTTCATGATGGTTTTAAGAGCCTCCCTTGATATCCTACTAGCATGACATTTTGAAATGTTTCGAACCAGTCTTGAAACTTCTGACCTCACTCATGCCATGTGTCTATTTTCCCTGCCATTTCATACACTTAAAGTGAACAAAAATGCTGATGCTTCCATTTGTGTACCTTTATTATACCTGATTAAAAATTAAAAAAAACAAATGGCGTGCAAGATTTTTAATTACTCTCTTTTCTCTTTTTCCCAGGATTTTGCGAAAACTGTCATGACATTTTGCCTTTTTTTTTTTCCTAGTAGTTCCTGGTTTAGCTGGGTTTTTCTCACAGAGCTCCAAAATCTTGTTACTGTTACACTTTACGCTTAAAATAAACTTGGAATTGCTGAAATTCAAAAGTGACAAGGAAAAGACGTTTTAACAACTGTTGCCATGCTGTTGGCATGTGTGACCAGATAGCAGATTGCATCTGTTTTCTCTGCAAAATAAGCCTCTCACTCTACAGGAATTTCAAGTGTGACTTCCTGAGGCGTGGTGGGTTGCTGCAGTGCCACACCCCCGTGGCCTCTGCCCTCCAACATGGAGTTGGGTATTCCCACTATCACCCTTCCTATGCCCACCAGTTCTGGTGCTGGTTGCACTTTTTTGCACTCTGCTTGTAGCAGAGGGGCAGAGGAGGGCCAGCAGTACCACATCTGATAGGAGGGAAAGACATGGCCAAGAGCGGGGAATGATGAGAAATAAATCCTCTCCTCTGGGTGCAATAAGTTGTTGCCTTATGTCAGCTGCTTCTGAAAATATGAGGGTAACTTCATATTCTTAATGTTCAGCACTGTTTCCTTCCAGTCTGGTCAAAGATCCCTGTTTTCCCCCGCCCTGTTATGCTCTGGCTGCTGTGCTTGTTCGACCCTTCCTTCAGAGATTTTAGCTTCATGACCTTCCAGGAAAGCAACACAACAAAATTAAGTCTGCAAGGTAAATTTAAGGTGTGCTGATAGGTGGCTGATGTGTGGAGTTCTTGTGTGTTTAAGCTTTTTGTGTTGGTGAAATTGGTTTAATAGCTGACTCAAGTAAATGTTTCTCCCATTGAGAGGGATGATTATTTCTCCCCTGGAGCTTTTCAGAAGTACCAGATTGAAGAGGGGACTGCTGCTCGGTTGCTGGCTTCCTTTCCTATTACCAGAGGATTTTTCTAAGAACAGATGCACTCCATTCTGACAATGGGCTTGGATTTCTCCTGCAGGAGCTTTTTTTTTTCCCCTTTAATAAAAAGTCTTGTTAAGTGCTGATGCACTCATGTTAGGGCTAAGTGTGGACTTTACTAGACCCATGAGAGCTCTCAGTATCACAGAACTCTGAAGTAAGGGAAGAGAGGCTGGCACAAAAACAACCAATTGTCTTTCAACAGTTGACTTTTCACGCACTGCACCCTATTCCTCTCTATACCACAATGTCTCTTGTTTGGTAGCAATATAGAAAGAGGAGAGGAAGGCTGTCTGCTACTGGCCAGGCTAGGAAAAGAATTCTGGCTAATAAGCACGATGTGTTTCCCAAGCATTGTTAAAATTTCCTCTTCTTTTTTCAAGTGGGATCTGTTGCATCCACACAATCATCTGTAAAAGAGGTCTGCATCACTTACTGTTTGCATTGGCCACAACTAGTACCTGCACAATAGCAGAAATTTTGGAAACTTCACTGAAAAAACGTGATTGGAAGTTAAAAAGCAGAGATGGGAATTGTAGAATGGCATATGGTTGTTCAATTGTGCTCATATGAAGTAGCTGACAATTTGTATAAACACATTTCACTGAAGCCTATTTTGTAAAGCAAACAATTCAATGAAGTTAGAAAGTAGCAGAATAGGCAAAAATGCCCCACCCTTAAATTATGGAAAGAGAGATTTGTTTTGAAATGGGCTGATGCTTCAACAGGTAGGAATTGGAGCCAGTTCTAAAAAGAGAAGTTTTGGCTTCCCCATTGCCCCAATTTCCATTTTGCTGTGACATGGTATCTGACCCATGTGAAGTGCTTTGCTTTTTTTTCCTCCTTGCACCTCTGCAAAGATTTCCCTGTCTAACTGGGACAGTTCAAATCCAGAGGTATGTTTTATGGGTAAAAAATAAATAGCTAAATACTTGGATTACTTCTTGTCATACTGAGGGAGTAATTTTTCACTGACCTTTTTTCTCCTGTGTTTCCAGTTACCATCTTGTCTATGTTGTCAGTAGCATGGTCTTAACAACTGTAGCAGCAAATTAACAAAAATAAAATGTCCAAGAAATCTTCCTGGGGTTTCATTTTCCTTCAGCTCTACTTAGAGTTTGGGGTATGGGCACCCTGTGGGAATTTTGAAGGAGTTCTCTTGAAGCTGAAGAAAGTGCAAAGCAAATCCCAGTTTGAATTTAGGAAGAAGGAAAGCAAAGTAGTTGCTTTGGTAAAACTAAACCCACAACAGTTTCTAAATACTTTTCAGAAGACTTCTCCCGTTACATGCTTTTCCGGACTCATGCAGTTATTCCTAGTTGCCCTTTTGCTTTCTTTCTTTCCTGAGACCTGTTTTAGTTTTTAATCTGTTGGCTTTCTCCGTTTCCCATCAGCTTACACCTTCATCAGGTGGCTTTGGCAGGGTGGAAGGGGGTTTTTTGAGCTATGTTTTAATTTTAACAACCAAAACACAGTCTGCTGAAGCATATTGATGACTGCAAGTTCAGGTACGTAACCCCTGCTGTTTTAAGCACAGCAGGTTATTTACCATACTTTGCCATGATAATGATTTGTTTATAAATGAGAAAGAGAAAAACAGGATACATGACTCAAAAGCATGACAGTAATTGCTCTTAGAGATTTCCCTTTGTGTTTGTTCAATGCTTTCAATGGAATTTTTATCTTTGTACAGACATCTTTGATGGAACTGCAGCTTTTTATTGTGCAAAATGGAGAGAAGGCCCAATTACAATGTTACATAGGCTGAAACAGGTGAAAATGGGGGGAAAAAAAGTGTTGCAAAGTTGCTGTATAATCCGCTATGAATAACTTGAAACAGTTGCCAAGGAATGTCATCTTAAATACTCCTAAATTAAAGAAAACATTTAAATAGGTTACTGAGAAGGAAATCTTCAAGTACCCCTCTTGAGAATAGTTATATTACATTGTCATAATTACATTATGGCAATAATTAAGTATTTCCACGGTCCTGCCACTATTAGTTCATGTAGCAGTGAGTATCAAGCCTTTTGTTGTGTGAAATGATCTATTGATTCTCCTGTAGCTGTCTCATCCTATTGTACAAGGACAATAGGTTTTGTAAGGCCTGGGCTCACACATTCCTGCAGCCTCTAAAACAAAGTGATTGTCCTCTGCCTCTTAATTGGTTCTACTGGTCTCTTAGTCAGGGAGGAGTATGGAGAATACCCAATACCATTGGGGTGGGGTTCATTTGTTTGTTCTGTTTTGGTTTGGTTTTGAACTCATGAAGGACTTGAGCAAATCAGGCAGGCTCCTCATTTCCTTTCACGTTTCTCTGGATGTGACCATTAAGGATTCAGGGTGTGTGGCTATACTGGTCATCTATATAAGAACCAGTGCTCTGGTATTTGAGGCTATGAAAGACATTGTGACTTCCTACTGGGAAATCTTCAATTCAATGACAGGTAATGCAGAAGAAGGAGGAGTTCTTGTCTGCAGTGATCGTTTCTTCTTTTGTCTTGGACTTATGTTGCATCCCCCAGCCACAGCCCAGTATTCTCCAACCAAGTTCTTGTAGATGTATCCAGGACTTTGTTTTAGCAGAATGATACAGCAGTATACTGAAACTGCAGCACAAGCACAAATATAGCAATTGCAATACGCAGCAAAATCACAATACAAACGTACTGTGCAAATTACCATTGCTGGTTTCTAAATGCTCACCATCATGGCACTGTGTCCCCCCCACTTTCTGTGAAGGAACGTGCAGGTCGAACTCAGATCAAGCCAGTTGTTTGTTTCCAACTGATTTTGTGAGCTGTTTAGTTTTTAGACTTTTTGTTGGGCTGAGTCACATACAGACTACCCTCCCACGCTGGTCTGGCTAGCTCAGGAAAACATTACTCTTGACTAACTATTCAGGGAAGGTTGTTTATGCAATCCAGTGACTGAATGATGCAGCTGTATTCCTAAAGCAAAGGTTACTATCCAGTCCCCCTTGTGCTGAGATAATTTCATCTTCCTTTGTGACAATTTGTTGTTTATCCTTACATTCTTCCCTCAGCACATCATTCTTGTCTATCTCCTCTGGGCCTTCCTCCATTGCACGGATCAGTCACCCACACTCACACCGGCTCTTTTCGGGAGTGTCCTCACACATGTCTTTTGCAGAAATAGGTGAACTTTTTTGCCTTCAGGTGCTTTACAGCCTGGGCCTGTGGCTCACAAGGGAAGGAATTTTCAGGGGTGGAACTTTTTTTGTATTAGGAGGAAAGGATCTTGTTTTCAGCTTGGGAAATCCCAAGACTTCCACCTGCGCTTTCAGGTTTGGGGTAGCTGGCTCTGCAGAGAAGGAAGCTTCTGGATACCCACTTTCACAGCTCAGTTCAGTTTTCTTGCCTTTTGTTTGTTTGTTTCTTCTTTTCTTGTGTTGATAGGATTGGACTCTTCATTCACCAGTTCACTCATGTTGATGCTGTCAGGTCCAGAGGAATAGCATCTGCATGCAAAGAAAATCTAAAGGAAGAGTTATTCCCAAGCTGGTTGTGAGCTACCAAGGTGGAGTTTTCTGCTCCCACTAGAGCAGAACTCATGTGAACTCAGGCCACAGAGGATGGCCTTACTGATAAATGTTTCAATTTTAAGCTTAGTCTGCACTTGCAGGCTTGTCTTGTAGGTGTCCTGAGCTGATACTGTGTTTTATCAAGTGATTTTGTGGTGCTGGTTTGTCTGAGAGATGCCAGGAATTGCTACCAGGAGAATGAATATTTGCAGTGTTATGTCAAAGGACTGAAAAAGAATTTACTTATCAATAACCTCAAACTCTGTAGTCTGTATATACTTTTATTTCTTAATTTCTTTCTTTCTGAGTTCAGACAGGAAAATATTTTTATTAGGTTTTTTTTGTTCTTGTTTTTGGTTTTTGCGATTTTTGGTTGGTTTTTTTTTTTATATGTTTGTTTTGTTTTGGTTGGTTGGTTTTTTTGAATGACAGGGGACTGAAATTGCTCAGAGTTTAT